TCCACCCAACAGTAAGTCAGCCCTGGAAGTCATCCTTGAATCCTTCCTCTCCAATTACCAAGCCTCGTATATCCCACATCCTAAACGTCTCTTAAATCTCATTATTTCTGTCCTCTGCCACCACCATAACTATCTTCTGTCCACCCATTCTAACAGCCTGAGTGGTCTCTTGACCTCCAAGCTGACTTCTCCCTAATCCATTTACCACTTTGTAGCCATCAGCTATCTTTCCAAAATGCTGTACTGGTAACTCACTTCTTCAGTTTTATTGCCCATGGAATAAAATGCAAACTCCTTACTATGTTTCCTAAGATCCTCTTATGATTTGCTCCTGCTTATCTTTCTAATGTATTTCCAGCTATTGCATTGCTTATATGCTCTGCACCAAGCATTTGCATACATTTACACGCATCTGTTTCCTTTGCCTGGGAGACTCCACACTCACTTCAACATTTATCTGTCTAGGTTCATCGCAAACCTTCAGTGTCATTTCCTTTTAGAGGCCTTTCCTGACTTCCTAGACTAGGACTGTTCTCCTTACTGTGGGCTTCCTTGACAATATTCATTGCTCTTTGTTAATTTATCTGTATACTCCGAAAGTAGGGCTCTGTCTACTCACTGTTGTGGCCCCAATATCCAGCAGTCTCAAAACTCTGCAGGCATCAAAAAATGCTGCTGAATAAATGAAAAGATATACAATATATAATAAAAATATTAAATAAACCATTAATAATAGGAGATGTGCTCCTTTATCTGGAATGGTATACACAATCCCTATAGATTTTCATTAAAGTTAGAAGCATAACATTTCATGGTTTTCATAGGTAAGAATGAAATGGATACTTCAAGTAATATTAGAAGCTGTTACAATGGAAAACATACTGTGACTTAATGGCTTTTGTGTCTTTTATATTGTTTCCAGGCCAGAAAGGAAGATAGGGAATTTTAATACTCCTGGAGACATTGGTGTCAAAAGAGTGGTATTGAAAAAGCTAGCTTAAAGGCAGGATAAATAAGAAATTTATCAAAAAGTCTTTGACTATAACACATACATATACACAAGGATTGCATTTATATAGATACTATAAAATATTCAAAATCATTACCACTAAACAAATATACAAAAAAGAAACTATAAATATTTTGAGACAGATGACTTCAATACATGCAGTTATGTTTTTTTTTTCTAAAGGAAAACCAGAGCAGCTGGCCTTACAATAATGAGAAAAGGTATTGATGACTAGCCTTCTAAAAAAAAGTGCCTGAAATGTTCATTCAAGGCTGGTATTCATTCTTTATTCAGAGCCTGGTTGTCAGCTTGAAAAGCAACAGAGATTACTGATGCATTCTAGGGCCAAATCATGGAGGACATAAATTTGCTCTTAGTACAGCAGTGAATCAAGGGAGGAAAAAACTTATTTGTATTCCAAGGGTCCTATGCATTCTGTTTGGCTTCAGTAAGATTATTTTAATTAATTATAAGCGATATGGCACAACTTAGAAATAACCATAATTTGATATTTATTCCATTTCATTAGTTCAACACAGCAAAGCCATCCTTTAAATCCTGATACTGCATGATTAATATCTTGCATTGGTTTATTTGTACTTTTTTACTGAGTAGATATTACAGAAATAAAGTATTCTAAAAGGAATTTTTGAACTATTTAGGAGCTTTAAATTTATTTTAGATTTGCTTCAGTTTGGAAAAGTGGTTTAAAAAAAAAGCTGGGGTTAAGATATACGTAGTGCAGTGAAAATGAAAAAATAAACAGCAGTGTTATGTTTACTAAGGACAAAGTTAAAGCTGTGTTTTCAAAGTAATTCATGAGAATTCCCATGAAATTAAAACACATGATCAATTTTGCTGTTTTAAGAAATGACTTCAGAAACACTAATACATTTCACATTTTGGTTAGAAGAATCATTCCTATACTTTTCATTTATTAAAATACACACATATAAAGTTCTGATGAAATTAGAATTAGTTTTACATCAACTATGTTACTGAGATTAGTGGAGAAAGAAATTTTAAACAGGAGCAGTGCCTAGGAAGAAATAATTTTAAGAGGCCTAGTGGACCAAATAAAAAAGAACGTATTTCTGAACCTCTTTATGCAAAGAGATATTGTGAGTTGTGTATTTAAGACAACACCCTTGCTGTTGTGCAAGTAATCTATTTGGCAAGCTCAAATAGGAAATAACTGTGATGCAAAATGGTATGAGTATCACTTGAAAAAAGCTTATAATAAAAGAATTACAGGAATTCAAAAGGAACTTGAACCCAGGAGGCGGAGCCTGCAGTGAACCAAGATCATGCCACTGCACTCCAGCCTGGGTGAGACTCTGAGCCCACTGTCACTCCAGCTCAGAGTGAGACTCTGTCTTTAAAAAAACAAAAAAGAAATTCAAAAGGAATATGAGCTCCAGTTGTAATTAGAGAAGACTTCATGAAAATACAGATGTGAGATGGTTGTTAAAGGGCAGAGCTTTCTAAAAGTAAAAATAGAGGAAGATGTTTCATGATTTATAGAAAACAACCTAAATGAACCTTATTATTATCTTTCAGTAAATATTTACAAAACGAAAATGCTTTGGAAGTCATCTCATCTGCCCAGATTGATTGTAAGTCATAAAAGCAGTGGTGATGGCTTAAAATGCCTTATAAATCTGAAGCTTATGACTATTCCTTCATTAGGAAAAGATATAGAATAACTCCCTTTTCCTCCATAATGACTGCATTTCATCCCAAACACCACTGCTGCTAGGTATTTCCCTCTCCTCCTTCTGTCTCCTCCTGGGAAGGAGAAGAAGGATCAGCAAAACAAAGGCCCAACAGATTGAAAGCTTCAAGGAAGTAGAATAAACACAGAATATGTGAATTAAGGATTAAAAAGCATTCATTGGATTTGATAATAGAGGTAAATAGGTGACATCAACCAAAACAAGCGAAGCCAATTGTTTCCCCTGTGGTACACAATGCATTTTTTTTTTTCCTGATTCTATGCTTGTGCATGACCCTGTTGAGTAGTACACCAACTCAACAAGAAGGTAGTTATTACCCAGTAACTTTCATTCTTCTTAGGGTATGAAAATTGGCCACTGAATGTTCTGTTCCAAAATTCCCTCAGCAAGTTAAGCTAAATATCTAGATTAAAAGATTATTTTGATTTTAAAATGGACACTACATATCTGGCTTCTTTAGTCTGCAGGCACTTTTTCATCTTCCAAAAATGTTCTGAAAAACGAAAAAAGTCTATCATAGACTACTGAGCATATATATTGTAGGGCTTTACTGATTAACATGTCTGCTTCTATTAAGAAATCTTCACCAATTTCCTTTTGTAACATCCTTAGCTGCTTCAAAACCAGTACTATTAGGTTTTGGTTATCTCGCCCCAAATATATATATATATATATTTGAGTTTTATAAAATATACATACTAGTTGCCTCCTTTTGACTGTAAGAGCACTTAGACAGACTTTAAACTGTGACATATTTTCTTGAGTTAAATTTGACAATATACATTTTCATGACGTTGGAAAGGAACTTCAAATGGCTCTCTAATCTCTTGTTCTTTCTAGGCTACCCAAAAGAGCAAATCAAGTATTTTATTAAAGCTATCAGAAAATGTTTTTTTAATGTCCAAACAGAATTGCCACAATAGAATTTGGTTCATTATTCCTATTCTATAAAGATTACAGGTCATTAGTTATCTGCCTAGACAGCCTCCTCCAAATTATCAAGTTACAAAGTGACCTCGCACATCAACCATCTATTGCCACAATAATGCTGGCAGCTCAAAACTTAGGTGTAAGACAATAAGCATTTATTTTTGCTCATGAATTTTGAATCAGTGGGCTGGGCTGGGCTAGTCTAGGCTAACCTTGTCCAGGCTTGCTTATCTGTCTACCACCAGCAAGCGAGTTTGGGCTTGGCTGATCTAAGATGGTCTCACCTGAGATACCTCTCCTCCATGAGGTTTCTGATCTTCAGCCAGGCTAGTTTGGGATTATTCTCATGGCAGAGGTTTGAGAGAGGGAGGTAGGGAGATGGAAGGAGAGAAGGCTAAAACTTGCAAGGTTTCTTGAGACCCAGGCTTAGAACTGGCACAATCGTCACTTTTGCTACATGCTATTATTAGCCAAAGCAAGTTTCAGAGACACTCAGATTCAAGGGCGTGGGAACAGAACTCACCTCTTGATGGGAAGAACTGGAAATTGTACTGCAAAACGAGTAGATATAGGCAAGGCTGAAGACCGCAGTCACTTCTACAATCAATTTACCCAAACTTCATTGAGTTGTTTCCTTAAATGAAGTAATCTGATATTAATGGTGCTTCCCCTCCACCCCTAAATCTAAGTTGTGCAAACATTAACTCATTTTATCATTGCAAAATACAATTTTTCTTTTTTTTTTTTTTTCCAGACAGGGTCTCACTCTGCCTAGGCTGGAATACAGTGGCATGATCTCAGCTCACTGCAGCCTCAACCTCCCCAGCCTCAAGTGATCCTCCCACCCCAGCCTCCCAAGTAGCTGGGGCTACAGGCACACCCCACCATGCCCAGCTAATTTTTGTATACTTTTGTAGAGACGGGGTTCTCGCCATGTTGCCCAGGCTGGTCTCAAACTCCCAGGCTCAAGTGATCCACCAGCCTCAGCCTCCGAAAATGTTAGGATTACAGGTGTGAGCCACCATGCCTGGCTGCAAAACGTAATTTCAAGAACACTGTTAAACTGAAATTAAGGTTTGCTGAAATTAGATGACAAGTTGAGGTTTTAATTTAAAACCACAAACAGTTGAGAAATATAGAGTTTATGAACTTAGGAGGAAAATGACATAAAAGCTACCTTACACAGTAGACAATATGAGGCTGTGCAATTAAGAGGAAATTATGTAGCTTAAGTGTTTTTTAAATTTTCATTCACTATTTAAAGCCTACCATACAGTATTTGATAAATTATGATAAATCATTTTATTCAAACAGAAACACTAATGAACTTTTAAAATGAACCATTTATTAAATCAGACTGTTATTCTTAACAGTTATGTAAGTTACATGTATGTTTAAGTCAGAGTATTTCACATGGAAAAGTTTTTAACTCCTATAGGCAAGCAAAATCATATCACACAATATGTAAGTGGGAAGGGGATACTGCTAAACATTCAAATAAGGCAAGTATATAAAAACAATAAAACAATAATGAAAAAATTCAAGCATTCCTTTAAGAGAATTCAACACTACAAGCTAAATGTACTTTCTGAGTGTATTCATATAATCAAGGCAGTGTTTCTTCTTTTAAAACATCAGGAAATGGAATAAGGCTCATTAATAGATACAGCTGCCCTCAAGATTTCAATTCAGTTGCTTTCTTTAAATTAAAATTCACAAAGTACACAATTAAGATATATCAAAAAACTGAATCTGCTACTCTAACAACAGCTGTCCATGCTTAATACTTAGTGGTTTATTTGACCAAATTAGTCTTTTCAGGGGGAAGAAAAAGATAAGCCACTGTAAAACATTTAGTTTGAAATGTATGCTAATATTTTCCTTAGAAATCAAAAGTTATGGAGGAAAAGGGTCATTTATTATAAGGAAAAGAAAGCAAAACACTAGAATGACCAACATTTTCAAGGAACAAGCACCACAAAGGACATTTGCATTCAGTTTTGTAATATTTATCAATGCATTTTTCTTACTCCAACCAATCTACTTCATCAAATTCTGAATCATCTTCCGAATCACTATATTCAACAGCAATACGGCGAGACAGGATGGTGGCAACATCATTTTCAATGCGTTCATGTTTAGCTTCCTGTTCACGCTGCTCTTCTACTTTGCGTAGTTGAATACCTGATATAGTGAATCCAAACCATTCATTTAAATCAAAATACTAAATGCTAAATACTTGATATTATTAACATTTCTAGAATAAAATCAAATACACATGAGAAATACTAATAGGAAAAATAGAAAGATCAGAAAAGAATGTGAAGAAATCATACTGAGAGAGGCATTAAATCTTTATGTTATCTGTGTTATTAGTTGGTAAAACTTACCAGGTATCCCAGTAGGTATCTAGAGTTTATTTATCCATCATGGTCTACTATACCTCCCTGCTTACCACCCCCTAAAAAATTAATGAGGTGGTACATTTCTTCTATCATCCCAATGGTCAAATAAATTAAACATTGTTGAATATATTTTCTGTGGCTTCATTATCCATTGTACTTGAGGGAAAGGCACTATTATTCATTTTATATGCTCAGTGCCTGGCCTACAGTCATTGCTTAGGAAATAATGACAATAAATGAATGAATATGAGAAGTCTTTCCTTTGTTACTAAGGGAGGAACCTCACTCCTTTAAAGGCATCTGGTAGAGTAAGTGTCATGGATACCCGAAATGAACAGCCTTAACATTGAAGAAAATACTATTTTTAAAGGAGTTAATATACACATTAAGCATAACATAAAGGGTTTTAATTAAATGTTCTATAACACAAGTCTGATATATTAAATTTCTCATTCACTCAATAAACATTTTAAGGATACCTACAAAGCATGAAAATAAAATGATCAAATGTGATCTATTTTCTGGAAAATGATTTTAAATATAAGTTGGATATAGCTTTACTTTCTAAAGGCCATTTGTACACAACATGATCACCTAAAATTTTATAAATAAGGAACACATTTTTGTCTTAAATATTTAGAAAGTTTCCAATGCTACTATAGCAATGCTTTTCATGGAGCTGAGAAAATTACCTTTTCGTATTGCTTCCAGTAGCACACTCCTGGCATCACTGATTACAGGTAGGGTTGATGGATGGCGCTTTGGCTCAGAAGCAGGTATAACTTGTGATGGAGGAGATGGAGGCATTAATGGAACATGGGGACCTGGGGCAGTAGATGGAGTTGGATGTAGCCCAGAGGGAGGATGAGCAAGAGCTGTAACTGTGACAGGTGATGATGGTCGAATGCCAGGTGGAGGCAGAGGAGGCGGTGGTGGGGGTGGAGGCAGCCCCTGAACTTCACCTTGTGGGAGTGGATGAACTGGTACAGTTTCACATACTGGGGCAGCTCTAGCTACTGGTGGAGAGGGCTGTACTAGAGGAGGTGCAATTGGAGGAGGAGCTGGGTGAAGAACTCCAGGGGCAATCTGAAGAGGAGCTGGAGGTGGTGGTACTGCTGGAGCTTGCAAAGCAGTGGTTGGAGGTGGAGGTGGGGGAGGCACTGGAGGGGGAGGAGTTGAAGTCATTGAAGCTCTTAATGAGGAAGTTGACAAGGCAGATGGAAGAGGTGGTGGAGGAGGTGGGGGAGTGGGGCTCACAAACACAGGTGTTCTGCCTGTAGCCGGTGACTGAGGGCGATTTTCTATCAAACCTGTAGCAGAACTGAAATGACAAAGAGATTCTAGCAAGTTATTAAAAGAGAAAAGCCTAAAGAGAAAATCTAACCACACAAACTATAAATGACTATCAGTAATTATATCAAAATAGATCCATTAACATGCTCCTATAGAAATTTAACATCTTCAACAGTATTTAGGGAAAAAAAGAACTAAAAGCACATCAACAAAAAAAGTTAATGAGTGGTGCTTTGGTTTGTAATAGTCTAAATAGTCTCATTCTTTCATGCAACTTTTGCATCCACTCAGACATTTTAGGCTCACTTTGATAAATAAAATGCTCAATTCTATACTGACAGGAGTCTCTGTAATGACTCAACATTGATCATAATGCAATTTTGTAGCAGTACTTGTGGCCAATATAATGTTGTATTTATACTGAAACTATTAAGTCTCATCATATGCTATTTCAGTTACATCAATGACAGCTAATTACAAACCACAGAAAGAAATTCACAGCTCTCTCTTTTCCTGAGGATGGAACATCAAATGAGTCAGTGATAGAAAATTGGATTTTTAACTGAAAATTGTAAAGCTGATCTCTATATCTCTATTAGAAAATTTCCCTAATATTTCTCTATTAGAAATTTATCATTTGGATAATAACTGACAAGATTAAACTTCAAAATAGCTTTACAGAAAGATTATTATGAGCAACTGCCAATCCTCTCTGAAATTCTTTAAGTATTTTCCTTAATACCAAATTAGTATTAATAATCACATCTTTGGTTCCCATTTCTTAGACTGTTACCCACATTCCAAAAAATCCTTATTTTTTCTTAATACACTGCACATGATATGCTTAATAACAACACTATAATAAAATGAAACAGGCTTTAGTCTTTAAATTCTTATTAGCTAAATTTTCCTAGGAGAGTGTGTCAGCTCTAACCAGAAGATTACAAATAATGCCCCATAGACCAAATCAGACCTGCTCCCTGTTTTTATAAACAGAGTTTATTTAAATGCAGACACATTTGTTTATGTCTATGGTGGCTTTCATGCAACAATGGCAGAATTGAGTACTTGTGACAAAAACTGTAAGCCCTGAAAGCCAAAAATACTTACTATCTCATCCTTGAAAGAAAAAGTTACTGACTCCTAAGATAAAACATCATATGCTTGTTCCAACATACCTGATACAGGTGGGTATCGGTTTCGCATCTCCTGCTCCATGCATTGGTGGAGGCGGAGGTGGTTCATGTGGTCTGACTAATACCCTTTCCTCAGCTCTAGTCAGAAGCTCACTCATCTGACTAAATGGCAAGGCAGAAAGTGAGTACGATCCATCCATATGATCCACGTATGTCTGAGGTCTAAAAGAAATATACAGTATCAGTGAATTTTTCTTGAATTATTGGGAGGAAAAGTGTTCTACATGAGATATTAAATATTTAAAGTTTATCCTTTCAATGCCAACATTTTAACTATTTTTAAGAAACTTTCAGAAAAGTATTACATTAATCCTGCTTTTAAAACAAAGAATGCTGCTCACAATGTAACCCTTACTTGTTGATTTAGAGATCTACTATGATGACCATCAGTTATTTTATTATTTTATAACAGAATACTAATTCAACTCACAGGATGAAAAGCATTAGATACGTAATCTAATAAACAAGAAAACAATTAACTTTTAGCAAATTGTGTGGAAAGCTATCTGCCTCTATTTCAGTTTTTTTCTTTACAAGAAGATGCCAATGACAGAAAGGTAGAATAGGAAAATGAGTTTTCTACTATTAGTATATCTCGGTGTGCTCTCAAATGACTTCTAAAAGTCTTGCACCAGAGAGAAAGGCCTCCCTGATACTAACAGCACAGAGGTGGCTAGCTATATTGTTTCTGTCCTTCTGCTATTTTAAACTGCAAGGGTACTCAGAAAACAGCTGAGTAACATAGCAACATGTGACTTAGATGTAAGCAAAATTTCAGATACCTTGAACATGTTAAGATTTATAAATATTTACTAGTACATTCTGGGGACAAAGTTGGATTTAACAGATGTGCACACAGCAAGTCAGAAATTACTGTATTTAGTGAGCCAGATAAGTACCTTAATTACTCAACTGTAGTAGAAATAAATGTGTCTATAATTTTTTAATGTCAATTCTTTCAGTAATACAGATAAATAGTATCTCTCAGATGTACATTTCTCCTAAAATAGGTCAAGATGTTGCACACTTATGGCCCAATAATTTATATGTATATTACTTAAAAGAAAACCTTAAGCTCTTCTCCATTAAAAAATCATATGAGTAGGCTGGGCACAGTGGCTCACGCATGCAATCCCAGCACTTTGGGAGGCCAAAACAGGCAGATCACTTGAGGTCATGAGTTCAAGACCAGCCTGGCCAACATGGTGAGACCCCATCTCTACTAAAAATACAAAAATTAGCTGGGCGTGGTAGCGTGTGCCTGTAATTCCAGCTACTTGGGAGGCTGAGGTAGGAGAATCATTTGAACCCAGGAGTTAGAGGTTGCAGTGAGCCGAGATCACACCACTGCACTCCAGCCTGGGTGATAGAGCGAGATTCTGTCTCAAAACAAACAAACTAACATGACTATACCCAAGTAAATGTCTTCATAGAGAGATGCCAGTTTAATGTGTTTGCTGGTAGTATGTTACTTAGTTAGGGCCCCTGGCCACAGAGAAAGGAAAAAGACCTATTCTTTTCTACAAAAAGGATGAATACTTTTGTTTGAAAGTCCTAATGTATCTGAGGTAGGTGATGTGGCAAAGAAAGGAAGTCAGGGGAAAGCAAAAGGAACAAAACAGAACCCCTTCTTCACTCCTATTTTATATGCAATAAATCAATAGTATTTCAAAAAAATCCCAGACCCTACACTTCTATTACAAAATTCTAGCAGACTGTGCCCGAAATATTGAGAGACTATTGAGATTTCACACTAAAGCTAAAACAACCCTGAAGATCAGCCACTCCAACCACCTCTTTCTACAGATGACAAAACTAAAGTCCAGGTATGAAAATGACCTGCTCAAGGCCTGACTTTAGTAGGCCCACAGTGGTCGGGATTTTGAAGTAATCTCTATATTTATAACAGGGTCTGCCTGTTCAACAGTTTAGGACTCAAGACTTAGAAGTACAGATATTACAAATAAAGCCAATGTTTTATCATTTTTTTAAAAAAACAAAAACAAAAGTAAAGAAACCTTGTTTCAAAATGAGAGGCTGGACCATTAGCAACTTCAATATGCTTATGTAAGAGATTAGCATCATCTTCAGCCAGCTCTGGACCTTGGGCCAGCTTCTGCCATTCTCGCCGCCTGTCATGAGGTGCTCTTGGCACTTTTTCTGGTTCATGAGGACGATCTAGATTTTTCTGCTATAACAGATGTATTGAAACAAAGTCAAATGCTTAAGTGCTAATTTTTTTAAAAAGAGGTTATAACAATCAAAATAACATTCTAACATCAACACTAAAAAAGACAATGTCATCGTAATATAGTAAAAGTAACACAGAAATGGTTCACTTGTACATTCCGAGTTAAATCTTAGCCAGTGTGCTATAGTCCCAGTTTCCTGCCGTGTTTTGTTTAACCCCTAATTCGACCTGATGGCGCCAGACACAAAATAGTACGCCTAAAGAAAACGATTTGAGGTCAGAAAGTCTTTCACATGAAAAAAGATTCATGAACCCTTGCTCCACAGGCATTAGTTTGAAATTTCTACCATTAATGGCACTGCCTACCTCTAATCAAAATGTAAAAATTTACTAAGGTTATGTTATCTGGGAAGTAACTGATTAGTTAGCCAACACATTAGAAAAAAATTCAATTATCTAATTAACCCATAATAACTATATCACTCAACAGAAAACATTGTCTTTAAACAATAAAACAAAAAGTGATTCAAAACTGGGGGAGAAAGTATAGAAAGGGCTAGAGTAAGTGTAACAAATTCAAATGCCCAAAGCGGCCAAGCGGATAACATACATGAATGAAGTCAGTCGGGTGTAAGATGGGGCATGTGGTGAGCTAGACAGATATGTCCATCTCAGGCACTCTAGTTCCAAAATTTAAAAACCTCTGTGTTTGGCAAATGAAACACTCCCTACAGGCATAATCTGGCTTGCCAGTCACTAGTTTGCAAATGTTAGCTAGAATACTGGGTTACCATCTAGCAAAGAAGACAATACAACGGCATTATACAGGGATTAGGGAAAGCAGAGATAGTTACAGGAGAACCAGAGAGATGATAAAGACAGAACTTGCCTCCTTCATAATTCAGCCTAAATCTAACTTTGCTTCAACCTTCTGTGTTTTCAGTTATCATTAACATGAAATATAAAGCAGAGAGAAGTGAATTTTATTAGAAAGTGGAAAATGACAACAGAAATAACAGAAATTTCATGTGAATATAATAACCTCTCCAACACATTTAGGAGAGAAACGTTTAGGATGTGCTCTGTAGCCAGAAAATATTAGCTTAATCTATGTTACCAATATCTGTACAAGATTCCGTTGTTCCTTCTTACCAAAATGTTCCTCTCTTCCTTGGTCCACCTAACTAACTCCTATCTGTTCTTCAAGATTCATTATAAGCTTTGTTGGAAGTGTTTACCCTGGCTGCTAGCTAAAGCAGATGCTATTTTGTGTTATCTAAACCCTTTATGCATACCTCTGCTACGGCACTTATTATGCCATACTCTAATAACCTAATTGCTCATCTGCTCCCCATCAGACTGTGTTCTTTCTGTGGAGTTATAAAGACTTCAGTATTTAACTATATGGACCCAATAAAATAAAACTGTCAAAATACAAGATTAATGAAGTTCAATATATGCAACAAAACACAAATATACAAAAATTAACCTCAATTTTTTAATCTCTTGTAATACCTTCTGCTTCCTCTTTTCCTTCCTCTTATCCTCTGTATCTTGCAACATTTTTTCTTTCCATAGATCAAAGAAATATGAAGGATTGGTATAAAACTTCAGACCTTCTTTACCATCATCTCTGAAATGTATCAATTAAAACACACATTAGTAAGACTTAGGCAATCAGAACAGAAATAATTTCACTAAAATGTTTATCCTCTTATATCAATAAAATACAGCTCGTGTTAAAATATTGACAAAATAAAATTGAATATTGCACCAATAGAAAATTTCTCACAAATCTGAGGAAACAAAGAAAAGAGGAAAACCAGATGCTTTTCTGAGTTAGTATTAATACTTCAAAGTACAGCTGGGCAATTTTCATCCCTAACTTCTGCTGAATCCCAGATTTTCTCAAAAGTCCTTTGGGCAATTCCAATAATTACAAATAGCTCTGCCAAAGATAAAAGCCTGAAAAGACAATAACATCATCTAGAATAGAGAAATTTTGAAGTTTCTGCCAATACTATGATTTATCTTACTAAATCCAAAATACATCACGTAATAGTCATTCTAATAGTCACATTTATATCTAATGATCTGCACACTGACTTACAATTTCAAATAACTCTCTAAATACTATTTTATCCAGGATGTGTCATACATCTTAAATTACCCATTTAACAAACTACATGAAAGAACTTCAAAAAAAGGTTAAATAATTCCGGATTTTATTCAAAGTGGTAAAAAGCATTTTAAGGTACTACCTATTCATTATATAAGAAGTTAATGCACACAAATCAAGAGTAGACGAAACAGGCCGGGCGCAGTGGCTCACACCTGTAATCCCAGCACTTTGGGAGGCCGAGGCGGGCGGATCACGAGGTCAGATGGAGACCATCCTGGCTAACACAGTGAAACCCCGTCTCTATTAAAAATACAAAAAATTAGCCAGGCTTGGTGATGGGCACCTGTAGTCCCAGCTACACGGTAGGCTGACACAGGAGAACGGCGTGAACCCGGGAGGCGGAGCTTGCAGTGAGCCTGAGTGACAGAGCGAGACTCTGCCTCAAAAAAAAAAAAAAAAAAAAAAAAAAAAAGCAAAAATTATAATGTTTATTTTGTTAAAAGGACAGAATTTTGAGCTTTTTCCATTTGGTTAAAAATTAAATTAAAAGGACAATAATGACTCCTTATCTCTTTATATTAATAAGTTTACCAGTGGCTTTTCTTAACTTGTCAAAACAACTCTTTTGAATAGGTCTTGTCTTTTGTATGCCAGAATCTTAGGAATTCATCCAGTGAATAAAACAAAGGTTTTTCCAAAGGTGGTGGACAGAGAGGGCTCTCTGTGTTGGCTAGAAGCCCAATGAAATAAAGAATGTTTGGGGATTTAGCATTTCAATCTGAAGTCTGAGATAAATAATAGGGCTACCATTTATTAACCTACCTACCTATAAGGAGTGAGTATATTGAGAGGTGGAGGCTGTTCACAAACATCGTACGTCTCCTGTAATGGAATAGGCAAAGTCTTGCGATCAAAAAGCTGCTGGTCTTGAATTGTAGAACTTCGGAAAGCTTTCCTCATTGTTATATCTTGCAAAGACACTGAAACAAAAATCAAGAATTCATTTTATTTTATTTTACTAAGATGATTTAACATAAGGGCAAATTCATATACTGTATTTGTCTAAAAGTCAGCACGGTTCAAGAGGTTGTGACCTTAGTGGCTTATGAATCAGAAACCACATTATAAATGTTCTATCATTATATTTACCCTTATCATTCTGTGCCTAATTTCCCAATCACATAGGTTTTAATTAACCTTTGATTTCTAGGGCTCAGAAGGCCTTAAAGACATCTGAAACATATCTACATTTCAACCAAATATACCTTTTTCTTTCTTCTACCTGCCATCATGGGCCCCCACCAACTTAGGTTCTCTTCTCCTATTAATCTTCTTTTCCATCTCCCTTTATTCCTTCTTTTTAGCTTACATCAGTAACTCTAAAAGGAATTACTTACTTATTAGTGGCACTGTGGGTTAAACACGCTGTTAACCTCTACACTACGTATGCTATAAATCTTTTGTGTGTACTATCAAGTTAAAACAAACTTTACTGTAAAGGAAATATTTTTAAGTATTGGGTGATCTATATTATTCTTTTTAACTTATATTTTATCTGTACTATAAGGATTTCTACCTAACTATAAGCTCTTGAAGACTCAGACTATCTTATACATTAGTATTCCCAGTAACTAGCACAGCCCCATCACATATGTGATGATTTAAAAATAACTTCATTTATTTTGAACTGTGCAGCATGTTAAAATAACAAATATACAAAAATGCTGCATTCTTAACTCCTAGAGTGATTTCCTGATATTAAAAAATAAAGTAGTTTCTTAGATATTTAATATGGCCTTAAGTATACAGACAAATACCCTCATAGCAAGGTCAGTATAACAATCCTAACAATTCTTTTTTTTGAGACAGAGTCTCACTGTGTCACCCAGGCTGGAGTGCAGTGGTGCCATCTCGGCTCACTGCAACCTCTTCCTCCCTCCTCTTCCTTCCTCCTCCTCCCTCCTGCCTCAGCTTCCCAAGTAGCTGGGACTACAGGCAACTGCCACCACGGCCGGCTAATTTTTTTTTTTTTTAATTTTTAGTAGAGATGAGGTTTCACTATGTTGGCCAGGCTGGTCTTGAACTCCTGACCTCGTGATCTGCCCACCTCGGCCTCCCAAAGTGCTGGGATTACCGGTGTGAGCCACCACGTCCGGCCAACAATTCTTAAGTTATCCTTCTCCCTAAAATAATTTTCCTATCGTCTTCTCAAGTAAATTCACTCAACATGAACACGGGACCAATGGCACAGGTGGTGCAATAGGCTGGCTCTGCAACGGCGGCACCATAACTGCATTTCTAGCAACTCCACTGCTGCATGACCTGTAACACACTTATAAATACTAAAATAAAATTCAGAGAAGCAAAAAGTTTTTCCCCACTGTCACTAAAAAGTGGCACTGGAGATACAGTATTTAATGAGTACATACTATATGTGCTAGATGGTTTCACTAACTTTCATTTCATTTAATCTTTATAATTCAATAAGATATGAATTATTCCATTTTGAAATATTACAAGAAAGCCAAGGCTAGGAAATAGTATATAACTGACCTGAGGTTAAACAGTTAATAAACAGAAGAGCCAGAACACAGAAGTCAGATCTGTTTACCTTTAAGGCTAATTTTTTTGCCACAATACCACACACTGTTTTCAGGCTCCTGCCAGAAGTGGCTTGTGTTTTCTGCAGTCAAAGTGGATCAATTCTTGCCACTCTCCTACCCCACTTATTAATCAATAAGTATGTAACTAAGATGAAACCTAGTGTTTAATCTCCCCAAACTTCCTTGGTAAAGGATATAAGAAACATGTAAAGTAATAAGCATGTTGTACTTTTCTACCTTCAACTCCTCCCATTTATCGCTTGTCTCATTATTAACTGACCATTGTGGTGAAGCCCCTTCCACTTGCCAACAATAACATCTGATATTAATAAAATAGAATTATAAAGCAATAAATCAGTATAATGTTTATAAACATAATTGACTTAAATATAATTGTACAAGTCTTTGTTTAAAATTCATTTAAAAATATTTTCGAAATTGATAGTTTTCAGTTACTACAAAATGGTTAAAAAAACCTGATACCACACTATGCAATTTAGTACTGTACACATGATGTTATTTTTTTTGAACTCCCACTGAATTAAAAAACCAAGGTTAAATAACTGAAAACTCCTTCAATACAAGCTCTCCAAAACAATTTCAAATGAAGTAGTTCAGCTTTTAGATTCTGAATTCTTCCCCCACTGCTCCACAAAATTTTAAAGAAACTATGTATAATTCTGACAGTATAGTTGTTGAAATATTAAAATTTGTTTTTAACACAAACATCTTATTTACTGTTATCTGTATTTTCACTTTCAAGTTTAACGGTGGTTCTAAGACATTTGTTAAAATGTAACAATATTTTGAAACTAAATGTTGACTTTTATTTCTGTTACATATGAGAACTGCCCGTGTATTTCTCTATTATTTGATGGCATAAATTTATATTTAAGTTAGAAATAGTTGAGCTATCTAAAAAACAAATTTTGGCTATAAATTATATATCTGAAAGCATGACCATAAAGTATTTTTTCATCACTAACAATGATTTTATTTCAAGAATTCCATGAGGTGTAATTAATGTATTGATACATGCACATGTTTCAAAGGACACCACCAAGAAAGACAACCTAAAGAATGGGAGAAAATATTTGCAAATCATTATTTGATAAAGGATTTAGATCCAAAATATACACAGAATTCTAACAAGTCAAAAATAAAAACACAAATAATCCAAATTATAAATGGGCAAAGGAACTACATAGACATTTCTCCAAAGAAGATATACAAATGGCCTATAAGCACATGAAAAGATGTTCAACATCATTAGCCATCAGAGAAATATAAATACACATTATATGAATTAACCTTGAAAACATTATGCTAAACGAAAGAAGTCAGTCACAAAAGACCACATATTGTACTATTCATTCATATGAAATATCCATACAGACAGATCCATACAGACAAATCCATACAGGCAAATCCATACAGACAGAAAGATCAGTGATTGCTAGGGGTTGAGCTGAAGGGGAAACAGAGTGACTGCTAATGAGTACAGGGCTTCTTTCTGAAGTGATACAAATACTGTAAAATTGATTGTGGTGATGGTTGCATAACTTGAATATACTAAAAAACACTGAACTGTACACTTCAACTTTAAATGGGTGAACTGCAAAGTATAGGTAGGTTGTGAAATATATCTTAATAAAGCTATTTTTTAAGTATTATTTCCTTTTTTTCTTGTATCCAGAGCTCTGAGTTTACATTTTACAAGTGGTAGAAATCTAGTGTGCCAAGTATTTACCTCTCCTTATTTACACATTAGATTATTTCAAAAATAGCTGGTTCCATCACTAAGACATCCGTCATTACATTATATTTTTGTTCTTTCCAGTGACATCCTTTAGTATTTTTATTGTTAAAGTTCAGATCTATTATATAATTTGCATTTATACTAAAAATTATATCTATTATATAATTTGTATATATATTATTTAATGCAACAAACATATTTTGAAGAGAGTGTAAGAAATTCCATTAAACAATTCTCTGTGGTAGATAAGTGCAAATTATGTTCTTAGTATTACATTTCTTTTTGTAAAACAAACAAAAAGAGGCATTTAGGAAACATTGGCATTGAACGTATTCTATCAAGGCATAAAACATGATTTTACCACTGAAGTTTCTACAGTTATTTTAGCTTATAGGGTGGCTTCCTTACCTGATTATTCCTGATTTAATATCTTGGTATAGAATGTTTACACCCTACATACTGGCAATTTGTTTTTGAAATGTTCATTTAAAGTAGGAAGTTGCATTCAGTTAAATAACTAGTAAGACTTTAGCAATATGCACATAAAAAAGCATATTAAAAGCAGTTATGTGCCCGGGTGCGGTGGCTCACGCCTGTAATCCCAACACTTCGGAAGGCCGAGGCAGGCAGATCACAAGGTCAGGAGTTCGAGACCAGCCTGACCAACATGGCAAAACCCCATCTCTACTAAAAATAAAAAAATTAGCCAGGCATGGGGGCAGGCACCTGTAATCCCAGTTACTCAGGATGCTGAGGAAGGAGAATCACTTGAACCTGGGAGGTGGAGGTTGCAGTGAGCTGAGATCGCACCACTGCACTCCAGCCTAGGTGACAGAGTGAGACTCTGTCTCAAAAAAAAAAGTAGTTACATTCTTGAAGAGTCAAACCTAAAGATTTCAGGTAATTTTCTAATAGTTTTTATTTCTAAGACAAAAGTATACAAATAAATTATAACGGAGAAAAGAGAAAGAGAATGAAGAGAATGGAGGAAAATATTTGGTTAAAATGACTTATTTATGCCAAAATTAGGAGCTGTTTAGTGTACAAAAAGAAGAGATTTAAAACAGTAGAAAAGAAAAGCCAGGAGAGTCATACCGATGGCATTTTTAGATAATTCACTGATTTATTACAATATGTACACCAAAGGACATGGGTATGATCTGTAATACATTCATGATTAATATTGTTCTTAAATATATCATTCATCTCATCTAACTTAAAATATATACACAGAAAAAAATACAATATTAATAAGCTTACATTCTTCTTCCTTTGGATCAAGCTGTGTAACACTAACAGATAAACGGTCCACACGTTCTTGCAATGAGTTGACTCTGAAGGAAAAACTATGTGCTTCATTGAATAATTCTCCAAATATATCTTCAGCATATTTACCTAAGCAAAAATGAAACATATATCATAAAATTTAATATCCAGAGCACTGAGTTTTTATCTTTGCAAGCAGTAGAAATCTAGCATGATATTTGCCTCAGATACTTTGTGATCAGAGATAAATATTGAACAATGTAATATTAAAACTGGTGTCCTGTTGAATTTGGCATTTATTTGGAATTACAGTTGACCCTTGAACAAAATCATTTAACTGTGCCAGTCCACTTACATGTGGATATTTTTCAATAATTACATTGAAAATTTCAGAGATTTGAGACAATTTGAAAAAATTTGCAGATAAACCACATAGCCTAAAAATATTTAAAAATTTAAAAATATTTTAAAGATACATTATGAATGCATAAAATATATGTAAATATGAGTGTATTTTATTTACTACCACAAAATATACAGAAATCTATTATAAAAAGTTAAAACATATCAAAATTTACACACAAAACACAAACATACACAGTGCCACTCACAGTCAAGAGAAACATAAAGAAATGTAAAGATGTATTAGGTTGGTGCAAATGTAATTGCGGTTTTTGCCAACCTAATAGTACTAAATCATAACAATAAATTTAAGTGTAGTAATACTGTATTACTGTAATAATTTTATAGCCACCCTCTGTTGATATTGCAGTTAGCGCTAGTGTTGTATCCACTTAAAATGCTGTTTGAGCAGTTCTCTCTCCATAAATTGTATATGAGAGTAGGAAGTAATCTCTCATGGTTCTTGCATATTTTTCACCATGTTTTATGCAATACTGTAAACTTTGAATACATTGTGAGACTCATTCAAAGTGCCACCAGTGATGCTGGAAGTACTCTCAAGTACAGGAAAGTCATAAAATTACAAGAAAAAGTTGATTTGCTTGATATGAACCACAGCTTGAGGTCTACAGCTGTGGTTGCTTAGTATTTCAAGATAAATGAATCAAACTTAAGGGCAATTATAAAAAAAGAAAAGGAAAATCATGAAGCCATTGCTGCAGCTACATCAGCAGACACAAAAACCTTGTACTTTTTTGTGAATACCTTTTAATCTTGTATCGAAATGCACTTTTTGTGGGTGCATGGCTGTTACAAGAAAAGTCTACACATAGACTCTAACATGATTTGAGAAAAAGTGAAGTCCTTATACTACAACTTAAAGCAAAAGGAAGGTAAAGGATCTAAACCTGGAAAATTTAATGGCAGCAAAGGATGGTTTGATACTTTTAGAAAGTGGTTTGGCCTTAAAAATGTCACAACAAGAGAAGGTGCAGCTTTTGTCAGCCAAGAGGCAGCAGATCAGTTCCCAGATGCCATTAAGAAAATAATTGGTTTCCATGTATGCTGCTTGAAAAAAAAAATAATAATAATTGGCCAGGCATGACTGTCTGCAATCCCAGAACTCTGAAAGGCTGAGGTGGGCAGATTGCTTGAGCTCAGGAGTTTGAGACCAGCCTGAACAACATGGTGAAACCCCATATCAACCAAAAATACAGAAATTAGCGGGGCACGATGGTATGTGCCTGTAGTACCAGCTACTTGGGGAGGTGAGGCAGGAGGATCACTTGAGCCTGGGAGGTCAAGGCTACTGTGAGTTGTGATCATGCCACTGTACTCCAGCCCAGCCTGGGTGACAAAGTGAGACCTTCTCTCTCTTTCTCTCAAAACAAAGAAACAAACAAACAAAACAAAACAAAACAGAAAAAGAAAAAAATTGAGTAGAAACAATATCTGCCTGAACAGAGTTTTAATGCAGATGAGAATGTCTTATTCCAGAGAAGAAAAAAAATGCCACAGAGGACATTTATTAGTAAGAAAAAGTGAACACCAGGATTTAAGGCAGGAAGGGACATGCTAACTTTACTGTTTTGTGCAAATGCAGTTGGGCTTATCATCAGAACTGCCCTTATCTATAAAGCTGCTAACCTCAAGCCTTGAAGGGAAAAGAAGGCCAAAAGAAGAAGGCAAGGCAATAAAAAAGCATGGACAATGAGAATCCTTTTTCTGGATTGGTCCCATCGACATTTTGTCCCTGAAGTCAGGAAGTACCTTGCCACTAAGGGACTGTCTTTTAAAATTTTTGTGATAACTGTACAACATCCCTGGCCACTCAGAACTCCATGAGTTTCACAATGAAGGTGTCAAAGTCGTCCACTTGCCCGCAAACATGACAGCTCTAATTCAGCCTCTACGTCAGGAGGTCATAAGGACATTTAAGACTCATTACAGACAGTATTCTATGGAAGACTGTCAACACTATGGAAGAGAATCCCAACAGAGAACATCACGAAAGTCTGGAGGGATTGTATCATCAAAGATGTCATAGTTGTTACTGAAAAAGCCAAGAAAACCATCAAGCCCAAGACAACAAATTCATAAAATTTTAGAAAACTGTGTCCAAATGTTTTGCATGACCTCACAGGGTTTGTAACAGTGTCAGTCAAGGAAATAATGAAATAGTGGAAGGAAGTGGGAGTGTGCCAGTCCAGATCCTAAGCCTTGAGTGCTTCTGTTCTCTCTCTTACACTGTCATCATCATAAAAATGTGCCTTGGAGAGTTTGCACTCCAGTCAGTCCGACGGCCCTCTGTAAAATACAGAACCTCCCTTAGCCATCTCAGCTGAATACTATAAACACCTCTATGCAAATAAACTAGAAAATCTAGAAGAAATGGATAAATTCCTGGACACATACACCCTCCCAAGACTAAACCAGGAAGAAGATGAATCC